GCTCCCACGGACACTGTGGACAACCAGGAGCAGGAGTCTCACAGTCTGGCCAGTCACCCGGGCAGGACAATGGCATCACTGCCACATGACAGCTGGACTTTCCCCTTTCCACAGCAAAAAGAGCAAAATTCAGTGTACCTTGGGAGGTGGCTGCAGCAAAAAGAGCAAAATTCAGGGTACCTTGAGGGGTGGCTGCAGCAAAAAGAGCAAAATTCAGGGTACCTTGAGGGGTGGCTGCAGCAAAAAGAGCAAAATTCAGGGTACTTTTGGAGGTGGCTGCAGTGTGGGCACCCTGGCGTGGCAGGAGAGGCCATGGGATGAGCCTGGCCTTCCCTCTGGGGGTCATGGAATGGTGCAAGGTGGGATGGGGAGCAGGGCCAGCTCCTCAGCCCGGGCTGCAGGTGCTCTCTCTGCTTTTCTGCTGGAACGAAGCTGCTGCTCTGAACGTGGATCACAGCCTCCAGCCCACAGCAGCCCCTTGCCAGAGGCCTCTCCCCTCTGCTCAGGAAGGAATGCACTCACCCATCGTCCCCATCTCATCCCTGGGGGATGCAGAGATGCTGAGCTCCCTCCAGAGCACGTCAGGGTGTCCCTGCTCCCACAGCCCCACTCTGAAGGGAAAATCCAATCGGTTCTCTCCCCGTCCTCCTTCCCATGGCCCCACAAACTGACACTGCCCACCTCTCCAGGAAAGGGCCCAGAGGGAGAGGGGCTGGGTGGGAATGGGATTAATGCTCAGCTGCCACACGGGCAGTGGCATCACCTTTTATTAATGTCCTGGAATAATATTGTAAATACTCACTGGGAAATAATGATATCCTATAAAAGAAGCAGCAGCCTGTGGTTTGAGCCAGGACTGGTTAGCAATACTTGTTTTTATTAAAGAGACGTTTCATGTCTCGTTTATAGATTAGATTTTAACCTGACAACCTTTTAACATTGTATTAAATTAGAAATTAACTTTGTACGGTTGCTCCTCACAGTATAATTGAGCCACTGATAGGCTGAGTGCTAGGGAATATTTCAGATACCTTTCAGACAGCAAAGTTCCCAAGAAAATTCAGAGCCTCCTCCTTGATCTAGACCAGGGCTTTGCTATTAATTAGTATTTATGATCAGGTGGCAGGAATGCTTTCCGTGGAGGGGGAGCTGCCGGGGAGCAGCATCCCTGCACTGTGCCCATCCCCGGGGACGTGATGGAGGGAAGGAGATGGAGGTGCCCGGGAATGCTGCAAGCCCCTGACCCCGCCGCCAGTATTTGAGCATCATTTCCTCCAGCAGAAACTCCCAAGAAAGGCAAAAATTCATCCTGGGAACTCCCTGGCAGATGTTCTGCACCGCGGGAGCGAGGGATGCTGTGCCCGGCTGGGGGACAGGGACAGGGACAGGGACAGGTGAGGGCCACAGCTGAACCTCTCAGCCCTGCCCTTCCCCATTCTGCTCCCAGCAGCTCCCGCAGTCCCGGGACAGGCGCTGCCGCAGACAAATGCTTGTCCCGGTGCCTTTTCCATCTGTGAAACAGGCCAAGCAGTGGATCCAATTATTTTTTTTCCTAGCACACAAGCCACTAATCATTTATTGCATTAAAAAAAAAAAAAAAAAAAGAAAACCCTCGTCTCCGCAACTTTTGTTCCCGTTTTATCCAATTAAAACTCAAGGCAAAAAAAAAAAAAAAAAAGAAAAAAAAAAGAAGTTTCGTTTTCTCCTTTTTGCAATCACAAAGACCCGATCTCAGCCCCATTGACTCGCTAATTGTAAGCACTCAAATGGTCGGGTTTAAAGTTACACTTAGCAGCTGTGAAACATTAGGGTGAAGTGATTACAACCTACTGGAGGATACCGAACATTTTTACAATATCTCAGGAGCACAAGGGAAAGACAACAGGAAATGGCGCAAACTTTCCTACCCTGCACAGCAACAAGCCAGAGCAAAGGAGCGAGAAAATAAATGTAGAGACGTGGCGCAGACGTGGTTTGGATGCTCAAAAAGTTCCTGAGGAAGCCCTGGTGGGAGCACCATGGATTTCCCCCGGGGAGGACGGGGAACAACGTTCAGGGATTTCACAGCTGCACTTTGCAGGGTGCAAAGTGTGCAAAGTGCGTTTGCCAAACTCTGCTCCGGGTTCTCTGCTCAGGAAGGAGATCTTGGCAGTGTTTTGCCCTTGGCCACTTCTTTGCCTTGTCCCAGCAAATATTCTGGGCCTGGGGAATGCTGCTCAGGGCAGGACAGACCGGAGTCAGAGGGACAGGGGCAGGATCGGGTGTGCCTGGGCTGGGGCTCAGCATCCCCAGCAAAGCCACCAAAGCCTGAGCTCCACGGGCTCTGCAGAGCACCAGGAACCCTGATGGTTACACCCAGGCCCTGGACTGCTCCTGAGATCTGATTTCACTTGAACTCCGAGCTGTCACGATGGAAAACCACTGACTTCCCGCTCCTTTTCCAACGGCCCAACATCACCCTCCCATGATTTAAGCTTGCTACACGTGTGTGTGTATTACAGAAACCAGGGTAGGATAAGAAAGCAATATTTCATGTTAATTCATGAAATCTGAACTCAACTTTTAATAGAAGAGCCCCACTTTATGCCCAGAGTGATATACAGTCAGCCCCGCTTTAAATGAGACGTTTTGCCTTTTGAACTCAGCAGGAGCCCTCTGCTTACAACTACTGGAAAGAGTTTAAAAACCTGCAAGTCCCCGTGTCTCTTGGGCTCTTTGGTTTATATCATGGCACAACATTCTTGCTGGGCTGCCAGCTGCTGTGCTTGAGAACCTGGCGTGTCAGAAACTCACCTGGAGAATTTCCACCACGGCAGGAGCCACGAAATCCTGCAAAGACCACGAGCCTCTGGATGCTTTTAAGTGGGGTTTGGATCGAGTTCCCAGACTGAAAACCTGGTTCTGTTAAAGCCAGGGGTGAACCTCCCTTAAGAGCAGCTTCTAGACTTATCAAGGGACAGAAATATTCTCTCCTGGTGCCTGGAAATGAGTTCTCATTTGTCTGCTGAGGCTGAGGAGGAGGAAGGGTGGTGTGGCATGAGACCACCCGGCACCCAGCTGAAATGGGGGCTTTTAGGGCCGTGGGTGGGAGTGAAGAACACAGTGCAGGGATGTGTTGCATTTACTAATGAATCAGATCCTATAGAGTTATTATAGAATGAAATCCTATAAAATTATCATTAAATCGGACCCTGCAGACCTTAGAGTTAGTGATAATTCAGACCTCATGGAGTTATCAATGAATCAGATCCTATACAGTCATCACTGCAACACACTCAGTTTTCTCTGGCTCACACAAGAGCTGGAACTCAGTGGTTATTCTGCTGGGTCATCTGTGAAAGTATCAAATTGAAGTCAAATTAGCCACCTCATGGCAATGCTTATTTTTGTTTTTTAGGCTCTAGGCTTTCTTAACAGTTTGGCTACAGGGCTATCAACAGCAGAGAATTTAGGACATTCTTTTCAATGAACCAGACTGAAAATATTTTGGTACAGCCCCAGTTTGTGGGGTTTTTTTGAATCTCTTCCCCCCCACTTTAAACAAAACATCCTGATTCAAAGGAGCTTCTTGCAGACTGGGAATTTCCACATGGCCATATTGCAGCACTTATAAAAAGTGATTTAATGCCTGCCAACAACAAATACATTTGCAATGACACCACTCTGTGTTATGTGCTATCCCACTCTGTGTGCTCAGCCAGAAGCAGCCAGGCTGTCCCAGGCAGGAGGGAGAAGAGCTCCTTCCTTCCTTCCTTCCTCCCTCCCTCCAGGAGAACTTTGTCCCTTTCCCGGCTCCTTGGAAAGCCTGAAAGGAAACAAGCATCACGGTGACAACACAATCCCTTCTGTATGTGTTAATCTGGATTTTGTTTGAACTTTTGGAGCTGACCTTGGCTTGAACTGTGTTAAAAACCCTGACTGGTGTGGACTGACTTGACCCTGTGGTCCCATTTGTCCGCGGTGCCAGTCCTGCCCTCAGCCCTGTACTTCAAGCCTTTATTTTACAGACAAAAAGGAACATAGCATTACAGCAGATATAGCCAGCAGGCCAGAGCTTGAAGTACTTACTTAGAGGCAAAACTCTCCTCTGATTTCATCCCAAGGAAGTTATTTTTTTGCTTGAGAAGAGACTGACTGAAAACCAAGCAAGAAACTGAAATTATTGCTGTAAACTCTTGCTTTTTATTAGCGGTTTCCAAGCCTGAAGAAAACAAAACCTTCCGAGTGGCTGTGTTACAGTCAAAAGCAAAAAAAAAAAAACCAACAAAACCAACCCAAACCAAGCCCAAGACTGAACTGGGTGTTTGGGGATGGAGTAGGAAGAGGGTGGTTGGTTCTGCATCCCCTGGTGTGGCTGGCTGAAGCTGTAAGATTTGTGGCTTTAGATAGTTTCCTCTCCCTGCCATGACTCAAACAGCTTCTATTAAAAACAAGTAGTGGGAAGGAAATTTCATAAGCTGACAGCCCCATCTCACTCTGCTGCTAGACACAAGTTGGCTGAGATGTAGGAATTTGTGTGGTTATGATGTGTGAGCCCAGAACTGTTTTATCAGCAGGGTTGTGCAGTGCTAGCTCTGACTGTGCACGTTCAGAAGGGTGCAGAGGTTCAGGCTGCTCTGCAAAGCCTCTGCTCCACGATCCTACAACAGAACAGATGGAAATGGGTGCTCTGCCTCCTGCACCTGGTCCTTGTCCCACTGGAGTCTGTGGGATGAAGAAGCAGGGCCTCAGCCAGAGCAGGGAGCTGGGTGTTGGTTTTCAGAGGAGCCAAGTTGGTGCAAGGCACACCCCCTAAATACCTTGTTTTTAAAAATTCTGTCTGTGCACACGAGGACAAGGAAATGGGGAGGCAAAACCATGCTAGACTGGCTGCATAACAGCCACTGATGGCTTTAATTAAAGCCCTCAAGTCAGTAAATACACACAGAGTCTGGCCCAGGGAGATACACAAAGCCCACAGTCAGCCCAGTAACACTCCATGAACATTGCCATTTAAGCAGTTTCTTGTTTAACTTAGATTTATTCAATGACACATGCATTTCTGGACAGATAATCTGAGTTCCAATGAACAACTTTTATAACCAAATATGAGAAATCCGTGACTGCAATTAGTCAATTAAGTACATTTCTAAAATACATGACTAGAAGAAAATTGGAGCGAGAGAGAGAATTCTTCCAAAGAACAAAAAGAAACATTTCCATTGGTAATACTCCTGGCATTGCTGAGTATCAGAGGGGAAGAAGGGCAGCAAGGAGACATGATGAGGAAGGAATAACATCATCAACCCTGTCCACAGAAAGTCCTCCAGTTTCCAGTCTCTCCAGTTCATCCAATAATGCTCGGCACTTTCACGAATGGTGAGAGCTCCTCTGACTTACAGAGATTCATCTCTCAGCACGAAAAAAGCAGAGAACAGTCGTGAAACCTTGTGCTTGACCCAAGATGGCTTAGGAGTATTTCTCCTCACCCAACCTCTTCCTGAAGACAGCGAGAAAAGAAGCTGCAGAGCTCTCAGGACTGAAGATGGAGCCTCTTCGTATTGCACAGGAACACAGAGTCAAGATTTCATGAGGATGCTTCAGGAAGGTTTAAGAGTCATCAATATTCATCGGGGCAACGAGAACCATCCCGGGAGCCGGCAGGTGACAGACACAGCGGGATTGACGGGGGGAGAGGCGGCTCCTTCCCCTGGCTGGGTGTGTCCCTGCTGGGCGCCGGCTTTAGGGGAATCCCGTGGGGAACAGGCGCAGGGGCGGGCTGGATGTGTCCCCTCCTGGGTGTGTCCCCGAGGGGCGGCGGCTTTAGGGGAATCCCGTGGGGAACAGGCTCAGGGGCTGGTTCTCGTTGGTCGGCAGGGGGGAGCGGTAGCCGTCGAAGTTGCGGGGGATGCTGCCGCTGGTGGAGCCCGAGCTGTTACTGAGCGTTTCTATGCTTCCCTCTCGCTGAAGCTCTGCAAGGGAGAGAGAGCAGGTCCCGGTTAGAGTTTGGGATAAACCCCCAGAGTGGTCAGACAGATGCTTTACTGACAAATCCCTTTGCTGTTGCATTGCTCTGACATTTGCTCATCGTCCTTTCCTGGGCTGGTTTGGGAATCGCTCCTGAGGAATGCCAGCTCCTGGTTCCACTCCTCTCCAGCTGGGCCAAAGATGGAGACATTACCTGCTGCCCTTCCCTGGGGCCGAGGCTGCTGCCTCAGGACGTGACAGGGTTCCACGGTGGGGATCTCATGGCTGAACCCAGCAGGGTATGAAGGGGACAACTGCAGATGATGGGAAATGCTGGGAAGGGCCATGGGCAGAGTGTGAACCACTGCCATTCCCCACCTTGGGAACACCAGGACTTTCCACAGCCCTTTATCCTGCCCAAATGGATGTAAACAACTCAGCTTTTTCAGCTCAAAGAGAAAATATCCCTTTTCCTCAGCCGTGCCCTAAACACAAGAGAAAGCAGCCTGGCTGTGGCTCTGCCTCTCCTGCTCACACCCACCCTGCCACCTCCCCTCGCTGACCTCCAGGAGCCTTTGGTGCTCCCTCATCTCCCAGCAGGAGGATTTCTGTGTGTGCAGGGCACGGTTCCCAGCCCTGGCCTCTCTGGGAGCCACTGGAACCCTGCAGTTGGCTCGGTGGCCACACTGGCAGCACTCAGGAATCCTCCCCCAGGGTGACAGTGGTGACAGGAGACAAGAAATGCTCTGGGGAGTTGTGATGGGAGACCCTGAGCATGACTTGGTCTGGGCAGCCTGGGCTGGAGGGGAAGGGGTGGGGACAGGAGTTTTGGGCAAATTCCTCTGCTGGCCAAAGGGGAAAGGGGACCTGGAGGGGCTACAGGAGAGCTGGAGAAGCACTTTTTATAAGGGCACAGAGTAACAGGACAAGGAGGAATGGCTTTAAATGGGAAGAGAAATTTAGATGGGACACTGGAAAAAAATGTTCCCTATGAGGGAGGTGAGAGAGCAGAACAGAGGAGCTGTGGCTGCCCCATCCCTGGAAATCCTCAAGGCCAGGCTGGATGGGGCTTGAAGCAGCCTGGGATAGTGGGAGGGGTCCTTGTCCATGGCAGGGGGTGGAATGAGATGAGCTTTAAGGTCCCTTCCCACCCAAACCTTTCTCTGGTTCTATGTAAGACTCGTCTGGGGTGGAAAGGAGCCTCAGGAGCTGGAGGGGCAGTGCCTGCTCTGATCTCTGCTAAATCTGCTAAACATTCCTGCACTTTCACTGCCTCACCTGGGTTATTTAACCTCCTGTAAACACTTTGCCTGCAGTGGGACTCTGAGATAAGGACAGATCTATACACAAAGTACAGGGAACAGCAAGAATTTAGCTTTTCCCTAAAGCATCCCAGCCCAGCATCCTCTGGCCCTGCCCTGCTCCCCCCAGCCCCTGCACACACCTAGCAGTGAGGGCTGTGGGATTTAATCCCTCATCCTGGAGGGAACCTGTAAGGAGATAATCTGCCCAGGATACAAGGAAAACAAATCAGCAGGAAGCTGATCACCCTCAAAGCAGTGCTGGTAATGACCTCAGCTGCATTCATCACCATTTCTTGCCAGTATCTGGTGAAGGAATGTCCATGTCTAAACCTCCTCATTTTCCTCACATCCTCACTGTCCCCTGAGTCCAGGAAGTAAAAACAGTAATTTAAATCAGAAATGAGTGGCGTATCCCACACTAATACCGTGCTTATCCTGTCTGATTTGGGGCTTTCATCTCCCTCAGCACACAGCTGGCTTTGCTTAAAGGTCCCACGTCAGAGCTGGGGATGCTGGGCAGTGCTGCTGGGCTCCCCCACACCCCAGCACGGCTCCTCCCGGGGGGATCCCGCTCTCTTTTCCACCCACAATTCATTTCCAGGTAAAGTGTTTCCAGCAAGACAAGGGACAGGGACAGAGAGAGGAGTTTTGTTCTTGTAGCTGCTGTTTCTGTCCCTGGGGTCGAGCTCCTGCCTGTCCCTCAGTGCCTGCTGTGGGACCCTGTGCCCTGCCCAGCTGGAATTTGGGGGGATTTGGGTTTTTCTGGGCTCTGCAGGAGCTGGCAGCTCCTGTCACCTCTGCGGGGCCTGCCAGGGGGTGGCACTGCAGAGACTGATGCCAGGCAGGGAGCAGGAATCCGGGATGCAGAGCTGTGGGCACAGGGCCTGGATGGAGGGAGGGAAAGGAGCCCTGTCCTGGCCGTGTCCCACAGCTCCGAGCTGTCCTGAGCTCCCCTTGCAGCTGCCAGGCAGGAAAACCCGACCATTCCTGATGAGGAGGGACAAAAACCAGGGGACAGGAGGGGCAGAGGCTCTGGAGAGGATTTTCCTGCCCAATCTAGGCTGGGGTGGGTGCCAGGCTAAAACCTGGGGAGCTCCCACATGCAAGCTGCCATCCCTGGGCACACATTCCCCATGGAACACGAGTCCCAGCCCTCTGTCACAGCCCAGCTCTCACTCTGGAACCAATTACCCAGGCAGGCAGACGAGCTGTGTACTCTGATACCCGAGGAAGCCCTGGAAAAGTGCTTGGCTGCCACAGGGAGCTCTGCTGTGCTCAGGAAATTGGGCTCTTGCCCTCACCCTGGCTGGCTCTGCAGCATGGCTGGGTCACACCAGGGGAGCAATTAGCCATGACATGGTCACCAGGGGCCACCTGCCCACACAGCTGACCCAGCACCACAGGCAGAACAGCCTGTGCTCCCCCAGATTGCCCTGTTTCATTAATAAAAAAATAAATAAATAATAAAAAAAAAATCCAGTGTATATTATTATTGTTCCTCCCAGCCCTTAGAGCAGAGCGGGGCAGAGCAGGGGAACATCAGTGAGATTCCCATGGGAAGCACAGGCCAGACTGGGAATGGCTCCATGGCATGGGGACACCCTTCCTGTCACAGAGGGAAAACTGCAGGACAATTTCTCATAGATCTGGACAGGCCAAGCAAGTGCAGCAGGAGCTGCAGGGTGGGGCTGTCAGGAGAGACAGGTCCCTAAAGCCACCCTGGGATGGGGCAACCAAAGGACCTGAAAGGACCTGAAAGGACCTGATGTCACACAGTCAGACCACTGACATCTTCTGTGCTGGGAAAACACAAAACAGGAGCAAATGGCCATGGAAGGATGGGAGTGGGTGGCAGGAGAGCCCAGAGCAGCAGGATCAGGGAGCAGCAGCACTCCAGGGCTGCCCAGGCAGTGATTCCCTCCACTCTGGTGGAGTTAGGCCAGGAATGGACTTGGCCCCAGCAAGTCTGAGGGTTATTGTGTCTGCATTCCCCCATGCACACACTGTCGAGATGTATTAACTTCCTTAAATGTACCAGTAAAACAACCTCATATGATACACTTTAATGAACTTGTACAGTAGCCAACAAATTGTGCATCATATAAAACCCATTCGGCCTTATAGACTCTCTGGCTATTTTGTAATAACTGCAATTTGCTTCTGCTGAAGCAAGATAACCAGGGTTGAGAAGTCAGGCTTTGCAGAAACCTAAATATTTGATTTGGGGGGGAGTGGGTGGGAGAAGGAAGAAAGGGGCCTCTGGGAGCTATTTATGGGGTCAAAATAACATGAGACCTGCTCTTCTTGTAGCGTTTCCACCATCAAGGAAATGAAATACTGTGAGAAGACCAGCACTTGCATTATTTTGGCCCCAGAAATGGCTCCCTGAGGCTTTCAGAAGCCCGTGAAAAACAAACACAAATACAAATAAATGCTAATACTGGAAACGTAAATACTAAAACCTGCCCATGTCCCCGGAGGAAACGACTCACAAAGTCCTGCCTGCCCTAAAAAAAAAAAAAAAAAAAGGAAAAAAAGTGAAGGAGCTGGAACATCTGCTGAAGCCATGAGGAGAAAGTCACTTCAGGGGAGCTGGGAACAGCCCTGCCTGAGCTTTTGACAGTAACAATAATGGGCACTGCTGGCATCACCCAGGGTCCCAGAGTAAGGGGATTTTCAGGGCACACTCACACTTTCCACCGTGCTGGAGGCAGCAGCAGCAGTGAAAATCCTTGTGGCTGCTGGTGTGGGATGGCAAGTGGCCACCCTGAGTCCCTGGCCCAGCCCAGGGCAGCCATCCCCTCTCATGGCACAGCTCCGGGCCTGGGGGAGCACTGGGGCAGCAATGGGGCATCAGAGCAGCTGGGAGCAGATCCTGGCTGCTCCAGCCTGGCATGGCTGCTCCAGCCTGGCGTGGCTGCTCCAGCCTGGCATGGCTGCCAGCGGGGCTGCCCTGCAGTGTGGAGGGTGCTCCATGAGGAGCTGGCAAGGAAACCTTGCAGGAATCATTTCTTTGTGCTGATATTCCTGGCTGCCATGCTGCAGCCAGCCTGCCCTGTCCCTCACTCCTCTGCCCCAGCCACGCTGCTCTCCTGAGCTGGCTGCTGAGCTGGAGGGAGAGGAGGAGGAAGAGGAAGAGGAGGAGGAGCTGCTCTGGGCACAGCCTGGGGTCTGCAGGGCTGGGAGAGCAGCGCTGCTCGAGGTCCAGCTGCACCCTCCGTTCCAGAAAGCTCCAGCAACTGTCAAAGGACCCCATCAAATCCAAGGTACAAAGGCCTGCCAAGCCTAAATGTGAAACCATTTTATAGGGCACATTAATTCAATGCCTGAAGAAAATCTATACAGGCCTCTTTTGCCCGGAACACTCATAAATTATGCTGCCTTTCTTAGCCGTGCTGCTCTCCTGTAGTGGTCCACTCGAAGCCCTGGTATCTCCTTTATGTCCACTCAAAAATCTCCTCTCCAGTGCATTATTATTTCTTCTAATGGTTTTTCCTTTCTCTCTGTTTGCCTTTCCCCTCTTTAAGCCCAGTTTCAAAATATCCCAAATCATTTTCTGCAAGAGCTGACCCTTTCCTCTTACCTACGGAGGGGCTGCCCGGGATAAGTGATCCAATGACAGCAGCCTGATGTGTCAGGGCAGCGGGGAAGCGGCAGCAACTCTGAATACAAGAATTATTCTTCATCATCTCAAACTGTCA